TGAACTCCAGCATTTCTTACGCATCTAATCTGGTTGCAGAGGGTGGAATAAGAAAGATCTCAATTTTGCTTATTAGAAGAAAGCTCTTCCCTTACCTCTGCACTGAGGCTCTTTACTGGGAGTGGAGAGCAGTTGCACATCCACGACAAGGTAGGTTGTTGAGAGCTTGTCTCTTGGCACTCTCACTCACAGGGTCTTGGGAAGCCACGTTCTGCAGCACACAGGCTTCTCTCTGAGTACTACTGCCCTATTCTCATAGAACCAGCTGATTCTGATTCAGCAGTGGTGGCTTCCAGGAACAGAGGGAGTGCCATCCATCTCTAGACAGGTGCTGAATAGAAAAATGAAAGTAACTGAATAAAAATCCCTGGAAACGGAGATGGTAACAGCAAAAAAAAAAAAAAAAAAAAAAAAAAAGGAAAGTAACATTGTTATTCATCAGGTTATTACTTTTGGGAAGGAAACCATGTAACTTAATATTTCTCTGGATCATTCATCTTCATTCTCCTAACTTGATATCAATGGCTGCCAGGTGGTGCCTGTACAGGCTATTCAAATCAGATTATGTTATCATAGTTCTCCAGTCATCGCCAAGAGCAGGATCATGATCATGAGGAGGAAATCTAGTTATTCAGGTACATGTTACCTTATTAAAAGTTTGAGCAAAGTACATTGAGCCATTATAATGGGATTAGGTTTTGAGTTGTGTTCTCAGGGTTGCCATGACTATGTGATTTTGGTACTGTGCTGTGGGGCTTGGAGGGCGTAGCTCCACTCTGACCAACTGCAAATAATCCAGACCATCGTCACAGAGGAGTGGACACCAGCATGGACTCTGGCCAAGAGTGTGAAGCTTGTAGAGATTAGATTTGTCTAGATACAAATGCCTGAGGCAGACACTGAAGGAGAGGTGTGGAAGGATACCAATGCCTACTCACAGTAAGCAAAGCAGCAGTCAGGCAGAGCAAGAAGAAACAGCTTTGATAAACCTTCTAGAGTGTCTCTCAACACCTAGTCCCAGTCTTTTGCTCCAGTATTAACAGATGTCCCTCCAGAAATCCGGTCTTTCTTCTTTAGTCACAGTTGTCACAATAGGGTATGAAGAGTTCCAAAGGGTTTCTTCTCCATCTGACAGAAGTTCACAGATATCCTTCCCCCCATTCTCAGTGAATAGGAATCCACTTAATGATAGGCACTAAAAGGTGCCTTTCATATACAAACAGTGAAGGACAAAAGCTGAGGCAAGCAGGGGGAGCAGACTGTGACGAACACAGGCTTCCTGAACTGCTTTTACAAACAAAGAAGTGTCTTGCTCCAGAGCCAAAAACACAGCATTTTTAACACCACTACTACTATTTGAATGAAACTCCTGTAGACGCGAGTTTCTCTGCCTGGAATCTACTCTTATAATTCAGCAACACACTGGCTGATCCAGGAAATGTTATTAGGGATGAGCCGTGGATAAAATGGCCAGATTCTCCAGAAAATCTTGTCTCAGCGGGACCTGCAGGGTGCAGGTCTCTCAGTGAGTCCTGAGCATGTTTGAAGCCATGTGCATTGTATTTTAAACTTTGCGGTTTAGTTTTTCTAGTTCCACCTTAAAATGGTCACTCTTCACCTTTTAGTCCTGTCACTGGTGCATGGCTAGCATAGGGGGCATTTCCAGCAAGAGAGAAAGCAACATTTCTTCTCCAACTGTTCTTGTGCCTGGAATAACACTGACCTTTTGGGACCACTTACTAGGTTCCTATTCTTAATCTCCTGACAAGGAGTCAAAAGTACCTTGTCAAAACTGACAAGGGTGGTTGCAGCCCTCTCAGAGAATGGCCAAGGCTGACATGTCTCCACACACTCTTTGCTAGGAGTGTTATGGCACGAGGGTCAGCCCTTTCCTGTCATTACTGCAGTTCTAAACCCATGTGGCCACACCAGCCCAGATGTGTGCCTTCTGGTCATTCCCAGATTTTGATGGCATATACATCACTAAATGGGTAGGAAAAAAGAAGTCTAAACACCTTCCAAACCCCTCATATTTCTGTATGTGACTGCTGGATAAGGAAATGCTGTCAGTACTTCAGTGCCCCGGCACAGAACAGAACACTCTCCTACCCATTCCCTGATTCACAAAATACACAGGAGATTTTCTCCTGACCAATTACTCCACAGCACAAAGAAGTGTGATGTACATGCTGTGGCAAGGGACTTCTTCCCTTCTGCATCAGGACCTAAATGAAGTCAAACTCCTAATGTGTGTCTGCAAAGTGCTGCTGGACCTGGAATTAACTCCTAGAGCACACTTACACACTTAAAACCTTTAGCTGTCATAAAGCCTTTTTCACACACTCCTTCCCTGGATTGTTCTACAAACCTGTCATGTGCTCAGGGATAAATCCCTTGATGCAGAGATTTTACTTTTTTTCTTCTTCCTATTATTATAATATATTTTGTAATTATTTTAGTCATCATTTTTGCTTTGCAAATTCAGATTTTAGATCTTGGTATGCTGAGAACACCCATGGATTCATGAAATGCAATAATTTCTATTATGAGATAAATGGGTACAAATGTGCAGTGCAGATTTGCCTAGGACAGGATTCCCCTCTCCTGGGGACTCAATGACTCAGACAACAAAAAAAGAGGCAAGGAGCCTCCCCATCCAGGGTCTTGGCATCAGTCCAGGCTCTTCCCATCTTTTCCCAAGGGATTCACTCCCAAGAGGTGTGTAGTGGATGGAGCAGAGCAGCAGTGGAGTCCTGCGGAGATCCCCATTGGGAAAGCTGGACCCATTAGGTCTGAAGTGACATGCAGGCTCCTGCTGGCTCTCTGCACAGGGAACCAGACACAGCTAGCTGCTTTGTATGAAATCCTGGCCCCACTCACAGACTACCATGTGTCCAAGAAAATCCTCTTTATTCTCATCCTCTGTCTCTCCACAAAGAAATTCTTCCACAGAATTTCTTAGAATCTGAGAATGTTGGCCATTCAGCTGAAGTTTCTGGCCGCAGCACAATTATAATTGGTCTCTCATGGACAGGCTCAGCACGGAGGCCAAAAAACTGCAAGAGTTATTAATGACTGAGTTCCCTTCTACTTCCTAACTGCCAGACAGGCAAGAAAGTTAGAGGGGAACACTTGGGGCTGTGCCACTACTCTCCTCTCATATACGCTGTGCTGGTGCTCCAGCATCTTCTTGCAGACAGGAAGCTGTCCACTGTGCAGACACCAGACAGCACTGAGAGTTGTGGGAAGCAGATCGGGCATCCAGAAGCCCTCTTGGTGCTCAGAGATAATTTTAGGGGCCTTCTCCCCACAGCTGAAGAGTGCATCAGGGTGAAGCTAGCTGCAACCTTTCCAAAGGCACCCGGTTTGCCACAGGCAAGGTTGAAAGGATAAAGAAACACAGCTGGAATGGCAGACTGAGAAACAGAAAGTCATAGATCTTTCCCCCTCCATCCCTCAAAAGAAAAGACCATCTCAGGAGAGGTTCAAATTGAGTAAGAAACATATTATTACGATTATTACATCCCCATTTGACAACAATCACATGGCACAGTGCCAGCTGGCACCAGGAAGCCTTTGTTGCTTCTCCTTCCTTGCCTGATACGCACCGTGAGAAGAATACAGTCCTTGTTCGTTGAGAACTGAAGAATGGGAGAGGAGAGGCCAAAAACACCTCCTTGAACAATCACTATCAAGTAAACAGAGCTACACTTGGGAAACACATATTTTAAATACATTTTCCTTGAAGTTTTTGGGGAGGGGAGCTCCATGTATGGGTTGGGAAGGTGAGCGAGTTTGCACTTGGGCATATTTCTGTGGTGTCAAACAGGCTAGTGGCAGCTAAGAGGAGAGTCCGTGGTGCCTTCATTTCACAGGGGAAGATAAAAGTCCATGAAGCTGAGAATTTAGGGACCCATGCCAACATAGCAGCTTGAGTAAATTTGGACTGGCACTCCATGCTGGTCACGGCTGTGCTCAGCCTCTGATAAGGAGTTGTCTCACAAAAGCTCCTAGTAGTCTGGTGCCATTCCAGCAAGCCACTCTCTTATCAAAGGTCATGTCAAAAATTTGGAGGGAAGCAGGCCCAATAAATGTAGATGTCATAGGACATTGTTTATTCATGCTGATGTTCCTGAAATCATACTTCCCACTGGCAGAACAACTTTATGGAAGCATTGGGAAAAACTGCTGTTTGTTCATCAGCAAAATCATGCATGTCAGCATGCTGCTGTGGTTGAGTAATTTTACACTGAGGTTAGTACAGGGGAGCTAGCACTAGAGGTTTGGAAAAAGTGGATTTCAGAAAGGCTAGTGGCATATCCAGCTCTCTGAATGTGAGACACTTGTACCTACAAGACAGTCTAAAGGAACCATCACCCCAGCACAGTTACTGCCTTTGTCCAAATGTGCATTCTTTTTCCTGACAATCTGCTAGGCCAAGATGTTCATTTCTAGTAGCTGAAACACTGATTTTACCCAAGTAACATTTGCACCAACCTACCTGAGTGATGCAGGACAAGATTTGGCCTGCACAGCCACTGCCTGGTTTGATAAATAAGACAACTACTGTGTTCTTGTCCTGTCGTGACTTCCCAGGGCTGGCCAAGAGACTCTGTAAGGGGATGTCTCACAAGGGATCTTTAGGCATCAATGTTTGGCATCTCCTCCCCAGAAATAATTGCCCAACTATTGTCTCTCTCATGACATGGGTGGCCCTGCAGTGAAGGTCCTACATTTGGTCCTGTTTCTGTTGCAGTTGTTCTGTGATCTTTGGCAAGTTCTTTTAGCTCCCGCTACATCTCAGACCAGTTAAGCTTCACTATCTGAAACAGGCTGGGGCTCAGCTGAAGCTCCATGAGTGTCCTCAGACAAAGTCCTGAGCAGGCTCATCTCCACAATCCTCCCCGAGATGGCAGCAAACCAAGCAGTGTGCTGAAAGTTCCATGGCCCTTGTGAAACCCATGCAGTCAGAAAGGCAGAGACCAAGAAGGAGTTCATACCTTATTTCTAGTCTGCTTTTTTCAGTGGGCTGGTACAGGCTCCTTATAGCTCTGCCTCTCCTCTTGTCCTTTCTTCCACATGCTACCGACACAGGAGAGTAAATAGGCTCTATGAAATAACAATAAATGGAAGTAAAAGAGACCTCTGATGAATGCCCAAATGGATCTGTCAGCAAAACCCTTTCAGTGGTCAGTTCTGCCTCTACCTCCCTTCCAAGGACAAGCATCCTCTTAAAAGAGGCCTGCAGGAGGGCTGTAGGTATCAGGCCTAAGATCACAGCTGGGCTGCCTCACAAAGCATGAAAGTGAGAGGAAAAGGGGAGGGGAGGATAACAGCTAATGTTCTTCAATGACTTGTCCTCCCTTGCTTTTTCAAAACTGCCACTGTCATCATGCAAGGCAATAAGGAAGACAGTGATCTGGCACCATCCACCCTGTGCCCTTCCTATATTAAGATTTAGATTGAGCTGTCAGTGACCAGATACAGCTGGTAAGACAGCTGTAGCTCTCTGCCTGGATCTATTTTGGATTTACTTGCTCCTCCTCTCTTCCCTACTCGCATTTTCCTTATGTAATTTTGAATTATTAAAAATGAAATTTCCCTGGAGATGAGTTTTCATTAATATTGGGATCTGATTGCACCGATGTTGCTCTTAATTTCTCTTTCAGAGAAAAGATGGATTTGCATGCAGGTGGGCAATCATTTTTTCGGGCATGACATCCAACCCAGGTTCAGCCGAACTAAACATTTGATTTTTATCAGGTTGCACGTGATGTGTAGGTCCTGAATAAAGACAGTATGAAATTTGTAGAAGGTTGTCCAAAGCTGACACATGCTGAAGCCCTATCTCCAAGGAGCATGTTCCAGTCAGGTGGATTACGCAGGGAAAGAGAGGGGCTGAACAAAGGGCCGGCCTCCGAGTATGCAATGGTGACACTCTCCTTTTGGAGCAGGAATGGCTGGTATGAACAGCTGGTTATTGTAGGCAATGTCCCACTTCCCTATCTCCAGTCAAGTGTGCTACATGCACCAATGGTTTGGCCTTGGTGACCATGGTAGAGAAGCACAGGCTTTCTGAATGACCAGTGCTTTCTGAGTGCATCAGAGATTTGGAAGGTGTGGATAAATGAAAGTGTAGGACCAGGCTTATTCAGCCACCAGTTTACTACCTCTGTTGAGCCCACACCAAAGCAGCTCCTTCCTGTTCTACCTATGCCTGTAGCTCTTTTCCTGGTACCCCATAAATACTCATCAATAACAGTACTTAGTGCTTTATCACATGTTCTGCCTTCTAAACCCAGACAAGAAAATATTTGACCCTAAGTGATGTTTTCTTCCTCTCCAACCGTACTTTGTAGTATCAGACTTCAATCTATGTCCAACTCAAACTTCAGCTAAAGAATGTGTCGTTGCTAATGTATAACCAGGGAGTGTGAAGCTGCGTGTGAGAACAGCACACACTACCAGTGTGAAAACAAGCTGCAAGTACATAAAGCGGCCTCATTGTGCTGCTGCAGAGAGCATTGTTTGATGTACTTTTTGCAGGACTCTGTCTGGAGACCTCGAGTTAAAGCTAGCTCCAAATGCAGCTGCCTGCTCATTCCAGGGCCAAGCACATCACAGAGGAACTGAAGATTTTTCCCTTCTAGGTGTTTGGTTTTAATCTGCACTGCTCAAAGATGTCGAAGATCTGATTAATACCAAATCTGTCTCTTACCCCATGCCACACTGTATGGAGTCTGTCTGGGAGGACATTTAACAGAAAGCTCCCTATGTCTGTGGACCTTGCATCAGATCTTTCTTCCTCATTGGTAGGCTGAAGCTCGATTTGCTGAGCTTGCTGTTGGTCCCATCCCGCTGCTCTCATATGCAAAACCTCTGCTGTGCGATGAGCTGAGAGACACAGGGGCAAGGGGGAAGCAGCTTCTAGGATGACTGCAATGGTGTGTTATGCACAAAATAAGCCACTTCCTACATTTAAGGATTGCAAAGGCACACATATAGTCGTTTAGTGAGACGCAGTGAACCCATGTGAACCTACTACACTCCCCAGCGCCAGCTAATATCACCAAGGCTTGACAAACTGGCACCCACTTGCAGTGGGCAAAGGTGGTTCAATTAAAATTCCCTTGGATCATCTATGACACTCCAGTTTGGCAACTGGCATGGTAGTTGCAAGGGCAGCGTGGGTGAGCGGTACCTGCAAGCAGCACAGAGGATCACTCAGGCAGGAGAGACCGTCACCCACAGCCACAGCAACCGCCTCAGATGCACTACGTGCTTCCACCCACCACAGAACATTTCCTAATACCCTCTGACAAACCCAGAACACCACTGAAGAACAGAGTTTGCCTGCAGCTAGAGTGCCCAAATCCAAAATGCATGCCACAGCCGGCATGCATGAGGCCAGGCAGAGGCAGGGAGACTTTGCACAGTGTATCTGGAACAACCAGATGGGATAGGTTTCACACAGGTCAACCAAAGCCTGATGGCAGATCAAGGTGGCTGATGGGTGAGTGGAGCTCTCACACAAGAGAAATGCAGCATGAGGAACCAGCTTGGGGCACCAAGCAAGGTTCTCAGAGGAAATGAGAATTAATTTGTGGCTCAAGTGATCCTAGGAGGCATCTCAGGAAGCACTCAGACAGGGAGCACTCTCTGTGTCCCATCTGCTATTAGTAAAGAGACATCTTGCTGTATACACATGACCATGGTGTGCTGGGGTAGTCCTGCTGCCTCTGCCAGATTTGCTCTGGTTGCAAACTGTCCAGGTCTGCAGACAGTGGGCCTGTGATGTGACCCAAACTTTGACAATCTATCTAGGACAGAAGGAGGTCAATCAGCCTCTCACCTCCCCATACTGCAGACTGTGGAGCTCTACTGCAGGTCAAGCCAAGGATGGATGTACCCTGAGGCGCACAAGGGCTCAGGCAGCAGCCCTGCTGATAACTATGGTGTCTGCAGAGGAGACAGGATTGCTTGGAAGAACTTTTATGTATTATGAAACCAGCCATGGCACAGCAGAACAGTAACACTGGGACTCTCAGGGCCTGGCTTCCGTCCCCAGCTTTGCCACGGCCTTCACAGGGTCATGCTGTGGCTCCACCTGAGGAAATGTTGCTGCCTTGAGTTAGAAGGAGGATAATGAAGACAAATCTTTGGGCTCCAGTGTTGGAGGGTCCCTCCCTGCAGGTTCAGGCTAAGAGTGGATAAGAACACCACTTTGCTTGACACAACACTAGTGCGCAGTGTCAAAGATGACATCATGGCATGTGAACAAGCATTTACCCTCTGAAAGAGAAAATAGCAGAAGCATGTGTAATCATTTGCTTTCCATGCCAACATATTTTCCTTATGTAAAGAGAGGCTCTGGCGGCCCTAAGGATGCTGAGAGATGCCTGTGCTCCCCTGTGAAGGTGGAACTATCAGGCAAGGATGCCAGCATACCTGCCTGGGTAAATTTGTGCATGCACTTCATGTTATAATAGGCTTTAGTATCTGATAACAGAGACCTGCTGGAGTCTGGCATGAGGACAGAAGGAATCAAAGGTCATGTCATGAATTCCAGTTATGCTGATAGACATCTACAGCCAGAGGAAGGAGCTCAAGAACAGGAACTGTAAACTGGTTGGGAGGGCTGGAAAACAGAAACTGGTTCAGGGATGACAGGTATGGGTCATTTTGGACCCCAGATGGACAATTGCATGTGCATGTTCGTCACAGGACATAGGAAGGTGTTTTCCTGATGGAGTTACCCATGAACTCTGCCACCACTAGTTTAACAAACAGACTAAGCACACTGCAATAAATGTATTAAATAGCTAGCACATGTCTCTCCAGAGGCCTCCTCCTGATGGAGAAGCTGATTCATGACATGGATGAGCAGATCAGCAGAAAGGTAGGAGATGCAAATATGCAGTGGGTACCTTGCACCAGGGAAACTGTCTGCCCACGGAAACAGCTGAGAATGTATGTGATAGCACAAAGTTGCTCTGCTCACTCCCTACTTTTGCCTTATTTGTCTGATGCTACCACTTGCCTTGTGCCTTATGCCTAGCAGGTGCCTGGGAGGCACAGTTCTCCTGTGGTGCACACTGGGGTCTGAGCAAGTTCATATCAGGGGTGAGACTCGGCAGCTGTGCACGGAGATGGCTCAGCAATTCCTGCACAGCATAGCTCTGTGATGGGTTCTGGAGGCAGGAAGAGGAGCTTTAAGGTTCTACAATACCCAGAAGAAAAGAATGGGATGGGATGGGATGGGATGGGATGGGATGGGATGGGATGGGATGGGATGGGATGGGACGGGACGGGATGGGATAGAACAGGAAAAAAAAAAAGGATGGGGAAGCAGAAGACAAACTCCTTGCAAGTGACTGACACTTCTAGTTGTATCACAATAAATTATCTCATTTTTCTTATTATTTCTTTCTTCTTCATTTAAATGATTCCACTGTTTTCACAACATTCTCCTACAGCCTCAGACTAGATGTGCTCACTCTCCCTTTACTTTTCAAATCAGGACTTCTATTTGGATTCACCTGCTTCATGGCTGTTGCTTTTTGCCTCTTCACAGGTGCTGACAAAGGCTTTGCTAACATTATTTAAAGTCACTTTTGAGTCAGGAAAGACCTGGTAAACAGGCAGGACGTTGAAAGACAGACACAGTATAGGCAGGGACACTACAAACTGCTAGTATGTGTTATCATCAGAACATCTTTTTTCTTCACTCCTCTGCTGTTAGTGGCACATGTCAGGCAGCAACAGAACCTACCTGTGAGGAACTGCACAAGGTGTTGGTTTTTAGCAGCTGAGTAGTCACAAATCTGGGCCACTGAAAGCTGGCTCCAAACTCCTGGCAAACAAATGGGGAAAATCTCATTGAGTTCAGGGAGGTTTGGCTTCAACTTCACGGAGAACAGCCTGAAACTGAAACATCAGATGCATAAAACCCCACCCATGCAGTAACTACCAGGAAAAGGGACCAAAACTGATAGATTTGAGCCTCAGTGAACAGATTAAATCACCCATTTGAATTAGCAATTTAAATAAGCAGGAGACCTTATTTTTAAATATTAAATAAAAACTTCTTTTCATTTATCCTTTTTAATTATTTTCCACAAAGAAAGGTTGATAGTCATCAGGCTGTAACCAAAAAGACCATGTTGACCTAAAACCACATACAGTCTATGCATGAACTTACTGTTACCAGCAGACAGTTTTATCTACACATATTTACTTACCACTTTACATGTTTTTATTAGGTCTTGATTGTTACATT